AACACATATGCATGGGGTCGGAAACAACAGAACACATATGCATGGCCTCGGAAACAACAGAACACATATGCATGGCCTCGGAAACAACAGAACACATATGCATGGCCTCGGAAACAACAGAACACATATGCATGGCCTCGGAAACAACAGAACACATATGCATGACCTCGCATAACATTAAAACACGTACATGTATGCATGGTCTCAGAAACAACAGAACACATATGCATGGTCTCAGAAACAACAGAACACATGTGCATGACCTCGCATAACATTAAAACACATATACATGGCCTCGCAAACAACAGAAAACATATGCATGGCCAAACACACAATAGAACACAGGTACATGACCTCATACCCAACAGAACACATATCTGCAATGTGATCTACTATGAATGATTTAAGTTATATGGCTTGTCTTAGATGACCAGAGTGACATTTTCATGGCTAGAAAATTCCACAATTTTCACAGACTCAAGACTTTGTTGTGAAAGTTGATGGTCAAGACTATTTATACTCATTGGACAGTGCCTTTCATTACCCACAATGCCATACACCAACAGATATGGGCTTTTAGAACTATCAGTAAGTACCGGTAAGCTTTAATTTACACTTCCTTTTTTAACTGCTGAGTGGGCAGCCGACCTCAGCAGTTTAAACCGCAAACTTTCTGGTGCAACACAACACGCCAACAATTGCGCCACACATCAGGCTACTTTGCATAATACCATGTGGCAGCAAAAGACAATAATTTGAATATATTTCACATAATTGACTTAAACAAAATGAACAGTCTTACCGCACTCGCCATGTTCGTCGCTGTTATCATCACAGTCAAGATGCCCATCACATTCCCAGTTGCCCGGGATACAGGTACCACTACCAACACACTGAAATTCATCACTATGGCAACCATTTGGTGGTCTTGTAGCTACACGATTTTAAGACAATAATATATTGAAAATTGTATCAGGGTTGTAACCCAATATTACGACTAACTAATCAATGAAATAACACATACTATATGTATGTGTCACTTTCATGCTTGCAGTGTTGTGAGATTTTTCAAAAGAAGGACTGCCAGTGAGTACATGTTGGGCAAATGGATAAATTTTATGACAGATGACAGTTCAACTTCATGGCTGTAAAATTGCATATTACCGAATTCTGTCGTAAATTCACCCATCCGAAAAATCGCCCTTTCAAAAAATGATCATCAGATATTTTTTGGGGACTCGTATTTTCATTGAAAAAATCACCTACGCCGACTTTCAACGCCAGCAGTTGGACCACCCAAAACGAAAGAAACTATTGCAGAAGCTAATCTAAAATTTGATACATTTTTTTCTTGCTGGATTGAAAAGTAGACCGCCTAAAATTTCATTACAATGTCACCCAGCGCATCTTTCTCAAAAAAAACATTAACGAAGCTTGTGCACCAAATTATTTTTCATTTTATTAGTTACGAAAGTATATTCTAAAAAAAGTTTCAAATAAAAACGAACACAACTGCATTGCTTAGTAGCAAATGATCGCGGTAGCGCAATCCGGTCATGCTGCGTTTCACAATTGATTATTACCTAGTAGTGATTATAATAACGTGCAAAAAATAAATTTGTTGAATTGTTATGAAATGCAAATAAATTTCAACTTATTTCATCATAAGCAAATGATTCCGGTTGCATCTTTTGGCTTGGATTTTGATGGGAAAGCGACATGATTTGAAATAAAAAAAAAAAAGTTGTTTTCAAAAGATAAACTGAGCATTTGAAGAATAATTTAACATTGTTTACAGAGATAACAGCTCATTGTCCAAACAAAGCATACCCATTCACCGCTAGTTGCAATAAACATCATGATAATCTTGAATAGGTGTCAATGACTACGGTGAACTTTTTTGGCACCAGGAAAGATTAAAATAACATTCTTGGTCCCATTTTATTTTTTTTAAAACCCAAACTGCCAAACAGAATCCGGTATTAGATTGCCTCTTATGTATATGCTACATGTACTCATGTGCTAAAACAAGTATTCAGGCCTATTATAAGCCCTCCTAGGATCAGCCACTGTAACAAATTTTAGCGGGCTTGGTGCATAGTCCTATGAGCTATGATTGGTTAACAAGAGAATAGCATTGAAATGGCGTCTGCTATCGTTATTTGTGCTAGTTCTCGTCGAGTTAAACATGTAATAAAGACAAATAAATTGAATAAACACAATACCAATATACGAAAGTCAAGAAAGAACTGAAAGACAATTGAATAATATTGAATCAATAATACAAATGAATATCACAGTAATAATTAGGGAAATAATAGCGGATTATTTTCACTCTCATCGACAGGATCCCAGAGGACAACATTATAAAACATAGTTGAACTCTGGTGACCTTGCCCTTTGTTATATAATATAATTCCCTTTATCATAGTTTGATTCAATATAAATATGCATTGTCATAATTAATTTTGAATACAAACAAGTTTTGGGGTTGAACCAACAGTGGGGAATCAGTCTACCGAATGTCCTTAAAAGATGTAAATATCTTACAAAACATTGGTGCCTTATTTGTTTAATTATTTTAAGGGACATAATTTCCAGCTT